TCAGGCGCAGTTTCTCCAGTGGAAACGAAAAGAATGAACGAAAAGAGGGAGTTGATTGTAAGTGACGAGGATATGGCCAATATACTTAACGAATTCTTCGCTTCCGTTTTCACTGTGGAATCCGACTCGGCACCGACTTTGGAGGAGGTGACCTCGGCGCGCATCGAGGATATTTCCATCACCGAGGAGGCGATCGTGAATATGATAAGGAAGTTGGCGGTGGGCAAGGCGATCGGCCCCGATGGGATTCCCAAGAGAGTCATTAAGGAAACCGCGAGAGAAATATCGGTTCCGCTAAGAATTATATTCGAAAGCAGCTTTTCGCGCGGGGAAGTATTAATACCTAAGGACTGGAGACTAGCATATTTAAGAAGGGCGAAAAGAGCCATCCAGGAAATTACAGACAGGGAAGTTTCGCGAGTTTCCCAGGGAAGATCATGGAGAGCATACTAAGGAACCATCTCCAGGATTTCCTCGAAGGAAACGCGCTCATTCGGGACTCTCGACACGGCTTCAGGAAGCGTCGAAATTGTCTCACCAATTTGATCGAATTCTACGACTGGGCGACGGAAAGAGAGGGATCAGGGGAATCCTGTGGACTTTAGATTTCGCAAAAGCTTTCGATACCGTTCCTCACAAGAGGTTGCGGGTTAAACCGGAGGCGCACGGGATCCAGGGTAGGACGAGCGAGTGGATCGGTAGCTGGTTGGCAGGAAGAGAGCAACGGGTGATGATAAATTGGGAAGTGTCGAATGGGATCAGAGTTGCAAGCGGTGTCCCTCAAGGCGAGGTCCATGCACTGCTTCTGCTTTTGGTCTACATAAACGATTTGGATCTCGGCGTAGAGGATAAGATAAGTAAATTTGCCGACGACACCAAGATAGGTTTTACCATGAGGGGGGGGGGGAGGCGGATTGGGCTATTACCGAGCGAGATTTAAGTCTTTTGGACGAGTGGAGCAAGAAATGGCTCATGAGGTTTAATAAAAGTAAGTGTAAAGTTCTCCACGTCGGTCGAAACAACGGTAGGTCTCTCGACACGTTCGGCGATGTTAAACTAGATGAGGCAAATGGAGAGAGAGATTTAGGAGTTTGTATAGACGAGGGACCTCAAGTTTTCCTCGCACGCGCAAGCGACGGTGGCCAAATGCAACAGGATTCTAGGTTACATTCGCCGTTCTGTTGCAAGTAGGACATCTCGCGTTATTCTTCTGTTGTATGCGGCGCTGATAAGACCCCAATTGGAATATTGGATCCAATTTTGGAGGTCTACAAATAAGGGCGATTTGTTGGCGCTCGAGGGAGTACAGGGGCGATCTCGTCCAGGCTTTCAACATAATTAATGGAATAGATAATGTTGAGTGTGGTATTTCCAGTTTGATGGCAGCAAGAGAACGAAAGGTAACCAACTTAAGTTGTGCAAAGCGCAGGTTCGACTTGTTTCTAGACCGGAATTCTTTATTTGCAGAGTGGTGAACTCGTGGATGACGAAGATGACGAAGTGATGACTATCCCGCGCTGTGACCATCTTTACGAAGAAACTAGATGTTTTCATGGAGAGGGAAAAGGGGGGGGGGGCAATGTTGACGTTAGGTAATAGACAGTAAGCAACTAGGATAGTAAAAAAAAAAATACAAAAATATATTGCTTTAAGAGGGTTAGGCTTACCTTAAAATTAAGGAACGCTCGACCTCGACACGTGATATCGAAATGGATTAAATCGCCTCTTGATATCACTATCTTGTATCTTGAATCTTGATAATGGAGAGCTGTGATGATTTACTTTTAACTTCAGTTTGCCCCGTCAACTTTTCTTATTATAATAACTTTGTACCTTAATATCAAAAGAAAAATCTGAAATACCGTAATCCTAGATGAGTGTTCCAATAATTTAATTATACTTGACATTATACGTTATGCAGCGGTTATTAATTAAGATCCAATTCTTCCCAAACTAGAAGAAGATTTTGTAAACCCCTTTCGGTCGGATATATCCCAGGTAGCACACCTCGTTGGTCTCACGTTGGCTGCAGGCGGGGGGACCGTGGGCCCACATCGCAGGGGGCATCTCATGTAGGCCCCATATCGATGCCGGAGCGGCAGCCAACATGTATCATGTCTATGGGAAAGCCACCTATCTCACTCGTTCCAACAAGCAAGGTTTCCACGATTGAAGCCAGATGGCGCCAAACAGTTCCTTTTCGGTGGTATGGTTCGGGTGACTCGCTATAATTTGACGGTATTTTTCATTCGGTACCTGATATTTTCGCCACTGACAAAGTAAGGGGAAGAGATTCAAATTCTTCAAAGCATATGTTAACAAATATCTTGCAATATCGCACGATACACGAACCGGTCATGGAACGAGGAAGTCATTACTGAATGAAGTCGTATTTTCCCCATCCGGATAAAGGAAAAAGGACTTCGCCCCCGCCGCCTCTTTTCTTCGCGTTCCTCCTTCCTCCCCCGTCCAGTCGCGAATCCCTCGACGGGGAATGCCCGCCTTCTGCCCGTCCCATCCTCCAAGGAGGTTCACACTCTCTAGCACACTGGATCGGGATCGTGGGTGGATGGCATAAAACCGGCTTTAGCGTAATGGAGCTTTGAACCTCCTTTAGCTCCTCGTGTCGCTTTGGTATATTGATGACCATTATGCTTTGCATGACCTTGAAAACTGACCTCAAAAAGCCTTAACTTTCGAATCCACTCATTCCCCAGTTGCGTGTCAGTGCTTTCTTTCTGGAAATGAATGTAAAATGAATGACGCAATTGAGTTCAAAATATGTTCGAAACAATGCAAGATAGACGTTGACATCAAGGTCGAAGTGGATTCGATTTAGACTTCAATCCACAGCGAAGACATTGACAATACCCTAAAACATTGCGCGGGTCCTTGAAAGCGGAGGAAAAGTCGGAAGCAACGGGAAGGCGGGGCAAAGCTGCATGGCCTCTTCTGTCTCTCGCATTTAACTATTGGGTATTAAATTTCAAGAGTCCCGATTTTTTCTCTCCCGTACAGCGAAAATGTGAATTTCTTCGTTGCATTTCACTGTCTTATGTTCACTCTCGATATGGGAAATTTCCATAGCATGGAAGGGTTCGGCGAAACCGGATCGACATCGTAACGGCTTTCATTTTTTCCTTCTTATCGCAGATGGAACAGAAAGAGCACGGTAGGGGAGATAAGCATCTCCAGCCGATAGGGGAGAGTGGGGGAGAGATAAGCATCTCTAGCCGAAGGGGAGAGGGAAGGTCGAGCCTCCAGCTTCAGGCAGCTCTTCCAGGGTATAAAAGGGGCGCTCGGATGCGTGTTCCATCAGTCGCTGCTGCTACCGCCTTCAACTTTGGTCGCCTGGGTCCTCTTTGTCCGGTGAGTCATTTCCTTCTATTCCTCGTTCAATGGTTTTACGTATTCTTTGTTGTTTGGTGAGGAAATTGTCCGCGAATGATGCGTTGATTTGTTTCTTTCTTTTATTGTAGATTAACGTTTGCTGGGGAATGTATAGCTGGAATCAAGTTCCTTGAATTCATCACCCAGAGAGATGAAGCATTGCAGTTCTTCCGTAGAGACATGTTCTCTCGCACTTCTTCTTACCTGGCCTTGATCGTATGAACTGCTTTTCGCGCGGGGAAGTACCTAAGGACTGGCGACTAGCGAACGACGTACCGAGAAGGGCGAAAAGAGTAATCCAGGAAATTACAGGCCGGTAAGTCTCCTTGTATTCCAGGGAATATGAAGGAGAGCATTCTACGGGACCATCTCTTGCATTTCCTCGAAGGAAACGCGCTCATTAGGGGACGCTCAACACGACTTAAGAAGGCGTCGAAATTGTCTCACCAATTTGCTCGAACTCTACGACTGGGCGACGTAAGGGGGACAACGGGAATCCTGTGGACATCGTATATTTAGATTTCGCGAAAGATTTCGATACTGTTCCTCACAAGACGTTGCGGTTTAAACTGGAGGCGCACGGGGTCCAGGGTAGGACGAGCGAGTGGATCAGTAGTTGGTTGACAGGAAGAATGCAACGTATGATGATAAATGGGGAAGCGTCGAAGGAGGTCGGAGTCACAAGCGGTGTCCCTCAAGGCGAGTTCCTTGGACTGCTTCTGTTTTTGGTCTACATGAACGACTTCGATCTCTGCGTCGAGGGTAAGATAAGTAAATTTGCCGACGACACCAAGATAGGTTTAGATAGGGGGGAGGCGGATAGGACTCGAGCCGAGCGAGTCTTTTGGACGAATGGAGTAAGAAATGGCGCGTGAGAGATTTAGGAGTTTCTATCGACGAGGACCTAAAGTTTTCCTCTTACGCGACTGTGGCCAAATGCAACAGGATTTTAGGTTACTCTCGTCGGGTCGGTCGGCTTGGGCTTCGCGCCTTATTCTTCCGTTGTATGCGGCGCTGATAAAAGACCCCCCCCCCCCCAAATTGGAATATTGCCTCCAGGTTTGTAGCCCTACAAATAAGGGAGATTTGTTGTCGCTCGGGGGATTACAGAGCAGGGCCCATCATACGAGAAGCGTTTAGAAGTGTTGGGACTGTACTCGCTCGGAAGAAGGTTGAGGGGTGATTTCATCCAGGCTTTCAAGTTAACTATGGAAATGTCCTATAGAATCGGAAAGTACACACGCAGTATCAGGTTTAGTTAAGTGCCTTCTCGGACCGTAGGGCTGGTCTCCCGTGTTTTCATTCCAGACGCCATCGCATGCGTCGAGTAGCTAACGTGGCATGTGCGGGTTACCAGGGTATAAAAGGGGGACGAACGATGCCGCTCGACTTGTTTTCCTCATCGCCTGGAATCTGATTTTTCCCAAATTGATCATGGAATGAGAGCGTCTGAAAAATGTAAAATAACGTAACTGTGGTTTGAAGAATGTCCACCTGCAGGCTTCGTTTCGTTCCTCTGTTTTCTCTCTTACGTATGTTGGGATGCATGATAGTCTGTTATTGGCCTTCTTGGTACCGTGCTTCTTTGTAAATTCTCTATATGGTGTTCTATGCTGGCAGTCGTCGCCACGCCTTGCACACCTCTCGACGCCAGCGCCTTAGCGATCCAGAACATCCTCACGACATGGGAAGAAGCACGAGACAATTGCACTGCATCTGACAAGGAATTGATATGGATGGACTCCGAAACTTGGACGGCTCTCCGCCGACTTCTGCAGAGCAATGGCAGCTTCGGCCCTGCTGGCACCTACTTCATCGGCAACAATCTGGTCGACGATCCAGCAACACAGTAAGGATGAGATCATGGCCAATTCCTTATTTTTAATCGTAACGTTCCCCCACGAACTCAATTTTTTTCCCTTCGAAATTGAAGGTCGACCCGAAGGGATCAGTGGTGGTCAGACGCAAATGTTCCTCCTCGCTGGTGGGACCTCGGACGGCCCGGCTCCGAGCCTTGCGCTGTTCTGGCCGAAAAGGGATCTGGATTGGTCCTTAAGGACGTTCCCTGCCAGGAACCTCACGGGTTCATCTGTGCGCCGAGTGAGTGAGTTTTCCATCGAACTGACGAGAGGTATCCGTGAAAAAAATCTTGATTTGGCGAAAGAATGGGTATAATTTTGTGACTTGGAAGGATCTTTGGATTGCAGTGCTGGAATTTTTACTGGGGTGCTGAGGCTACCTCTTTCTTCAATAGATGACTTTAATTTTTTTTGCTACACTACTAAATAAACCCCCCAAAAATCATGATCTTTCGGAACTTGCAATTGTGAAGCTGACCTATTAGTCCCCTAACGAGATTTAAAATGTCGCTGTGTAGCGTGCACGCGTGCTTTTCATTTTCATTACATAGCGGTTGATACATATGCGAGGAAAAATTTTCGGCAATTTTCAGTCACTCCAGCCTTTTTTTTCCCCGCTGCGAGAAATGAGTTTGAATGGAATGATCTTTTGGAAATGCTATCGATTATTACGCTGATGTTCTCATTACTCATTCCGACTGCTTTCAAGACATTGGGTCCTATTAACGTTGGAATAACTTATAAATCTGGGGAAATGTTAGGACTAGATTGTCCTTGTGTTCAGACAGGTTCTCGTATCCCTCATTTGCCTGAATTTAACGTTACTTTTGATGCATTAGACAATACGTTCCGGTAATGGGAGGCCCTTTTTTTCCATGAGAAATCTCCGATACGATTAGTATCCAATAGTTGACACCTGCTTCTTGGAAAGAAATGAGTAATGAATCCCTCTTTTCATGCACACTACGAAGAGATCGATCGGCTTTTTCTGCCGGTTCTGGGAGTCGTATTGGATTGTCCACACGCACACACCCCCTCGGCGTTCCTCAAAAGAATCTTACTGAATGGGCGCCACTTAATTTGAATTGAGCGGCACGGGTGGGACTAAGGCAAACAAAAGAGGGTTGGGGTCCCGTAGCGAATCGCAATTTCAGGGCGCTGCGTGAGGCAATGAGACGAACGTCGTTATGGGATTGATTCTCTTTGATTCATTTTCGTTTGTTAAACGGGCAAACGGGTTAAACGTTTGTTAGACGGGCGATTCGCTCGGATTTTCACGGAGTTCCTTAGCCTCGATGAAACGAATGTCCCTCGCTTTCTGCGCGATCTCGAGGGCCTCCTTTCCTCTTCGCAAGCCATCTGTCTACGAGGACAGGGGAAGGTTAAGTGGATGTTGGTTGATTGAAGCGGCCGGGTGGGGATTTTCTCTCTTCGTTTTCTATCTTCCTGCGTTTTCAACCGTGCGTTTTCTTAGGCACAACATAAATTCGGTTCTATAACGTAATGTCGAAAGCCACAATGTCGTCAGATTTGTCGACTAGCAAAAACGTCGAATGCCACACATTGTCGAATAGACCATGGCTGAATGGGCATAATGTTGACTGTAACAATACCGAAGGCGTGAAAATGTGGAAAAACGTCGAATCTTCAAATGGCTTGTTGAATGCGAAAGTTGCGCAATTGCTCTAACATGTTCCAGGGCAAACTTGACGCATGTCAGATTCCGCTTTGTTCCGAAGATGCAGTTTATCACAGCCGACTTTGAGAGCGGAATTGTCAGTAGTATCTCAAAGTACTTCCTCGTGTGAAACACTACACTTGCTTCTTCCACTTTACACAAAGCATTTGGAGAAAAATTCAAAGTACAGGGTGAGTCTCTGAATATGCAGATAACGTAAAGTTTGCTTTAGCTATGCGCATGTTGACAGCTTTGGCGTTCGTGGCAGCAGCAGCCCCAATCATTGCATATTATAGAAAATGTCGAAGCAGAGGTCGACCTCGTAGTGCCCCTGGGCGGTCTCGGGGTCCCAAAAAGTGTTCCAGGCCAGCTAGATTTCTCAAGCATTGCAGTGAATGAGACACTTTAGAATTTAGAATTTAGATTTTTTTCATTGCAGTAAGAATATGTATAAGATAATGGAGTTTAGTTTTTCCTGTGAAGTAAGAATATCATTGAGAAACTCATTTAAGTTAGGGGCTCTTCTTTCACGAAAATCTTTCAGTTAAGAATGAATTTAGAACAACTTTAAAAAAATAAGGGAAAAAAACAAAATTGCCAGAGCAGTGCTCCCGTCGCCCTGGCCGGACTTAGACAAATAAGCACTAACAAAAGAGCACAAAAGGACAACAGCTATATTACTCCTAAAAAATATCCCGGGCAACGCCGGGTAACCCAGCTTGTAGAAAACAAACATTAACGCATTGACGACAATGCACGTTTTTTCGTTTTTTCGCGCGTGGGAAAGACCCAGACAGAACAGTGATTGTTTCACCAAACATCATAAACTGTGTTCAAAATTCTTCGTTTTTTGAAGAATGACAAATATTGAAACCAGATTTAGCTTGCCCACGATGTTCACAGTATTATTGGCGGACTATTATCATCGATTAATTGCAAAAAAATCGCGGGAAATTATGAAAAGCGCAGAAAAAATAAATTAAAACTGATACCACCCATCGGTGGGTCGTATTGTCGTCAATATGTTAAATATAAAGAGCATCGATCTTATAATGGCTCTCGCATGCAGGTCCCGAATACATGGTTTCGCCATGGGACATCGGTTTCTTTTGTCTGCCTTAGGGGGTTAATTACACCAGAGTCGCTTAGTCTGAATTAAGACGGGGTACACCATTAGGGGTGTGTAGACATTCCTGTCCATTTATCAATGGATCTCATTGTGTTATTGGTACATCGAACTGCCACTTTGAATGCAACGACCATTGATCAGTCCTCAACTCTTATGAGTTTGGCGTCGTCGGACGAATACGGGTTGTAGATTTGTTTTGCCACGAGAGTGTTCTCCATGTCGTATCCATGTTTCAGATGGGGTGAGGTTTTAAAATTGGATCAAACCAGCAAGCAATGTGAAACACACGGCGTTCAGTGAATTACGCGGTTATAAAAGTTAACAGTGAAGAAACGATTCAACGTTGGTCCACCGTAGCGTCATTTTGCGGCCAAGGTTTCGGCACATGCTCTGGAAATATTTGATGGAAATTTTCTGAAAACATTGGAAAGTTCTACAGTCGTTCCAACAAATAGGAAATAACGTTGTTTCCAGTAAGCAGGAAATATATATTGTATGGCTTAAGTAGCAAAAAGTCTGAAAACTACTGGCATGCTAAAGATATTAACTCTTAACGTGGGGGAATCGCATTTGTAGCTTGACCGCCATAAGAAAAATCTCATTCGGTTGCGCTGAGTCGACAAGAATTCAAATTCGTTTCAGTTTTAGAAGATACTTCAAATACTGAGAATAGAAATCCTGTTGTTGCCAGCGTCCCTATTTTGGATGGGGGGTGAAATTTTTAGGAACTTAAGGTAATTTATGCATTTATTTATTAACGAAATTAAGTTTGCATGCAACTTGATCGAATTATGACTTTTCAGTTAATTTTAATCGAAAATAAAGTTGACATTTGTATTACCCATCATTTGCACCATTTTCCCATTTCATCTAAATTGCTCCCTCGCAGAGCGAGTCCTGAATCCGGGAAACTTGGAAGCGCTGACGGACGAGATGCGAGACTACACAACTGCACTCATCGAATGCCGACATCATGGGAAGGACTTGTTGAAGATCACTTCCCAGGATGATCTGCAGGTTGCGAAGCAGTTCATGAAGGATAACAGACTGTCAGGGAGATTCTTCATCAAAAACACCATCCCTTTGACTGTGTAGGTCCTAATTTTCTTCGAACCGGCCAGGATGCCCCATGCAGATGACTGAGGAATTTCTCCTTTCTTCTCTCAGCCTTTTAAGCAGCACGTGGTCGGACAAAGATGACAGGATGCGGAGTTGGAGCACATACGGCAATATTCCCAACACCCTCTGGAATGCTTCTTGGCCAGGCCTAGAAATGTGTGCCGTATTAAATGATGGCCATATTGAAACGGAGGAATGCATTCACCGAGAGAGCGCCTTTTGTTATGGTTGTGATCTTCTCCGCCCTATAAGAACAATTGATCTGTCGAAAGCTGAATTTGCTCTTCTCCTCTAGGACGTATTCTAGCTGTATCAATTAGTACGGAGTAATTTTCTTTAAGGATGGAGGGCTTTTGCAGAACTAAGGGGTTGTCATCAAGTGGACAATGAAAATGTGTAGAACATTGGTATAATTAAAAGACATCACCACTGCTGTTAAGGCACTAATCTCAACGTTTCACTAGCAAACTGATACCATTCTCATTGAAAAATGATGGTTGCTGTTGAAAAGTTCTGACCATGACCTTCACATCTTCGTCCGAGTGGAACCGTTGGCCTCTTGTTGCCATTTTTTAGTGGCCCAAATGTGGGAAAGTCAAAGGGGATAAGTCAGGCGTCCTGTGTAGTGTGGTACAGGATGCTTGGACTTCATTGCATTGTTAACTTGCCAATGTTTGCCTTGTTCTACTCGAACGAAGATCAAAACTTTTCAAGAGCAATGTCTTTCTATGAGAATGGTATCAGCTCACTAGTGAAACGTTGCGAAAGGTGCCTTAACAGCGATCAACGTTTCATGCACGTTTTCGTTGTTCACTTATTGAACGCTTCTTTTAGTTCCGTTAGTGAAGGATATGCAGTTATGCAAAACGGGAAAGTTTGCTGAAGGGAAACAAGGTTCTGTCCGCATAACTGGATAAATGTGTGGAAGTAGGAGAAATCGCCCCCATTTTTCCCCGTGAACTTTGTTCGAATTTCGTATATTGCAGCACCCCTAAACTTTCATTTTCCACCATCCACACTTTTGGAAATGTTGAAAAAACCTAAACGCATCAGATGGAAGACGCGTTGATTTATGAAAAATTAGTGACACTTTTACCCATGTGTGTCGTTGTTCACCGACTCACTCGAAAGTCGAACCAACATTGGCGTCGCTCCCAGCTATTTCATTCTTGTCACATGCATTTGTCAGGGTCTCCACGATAGGCCTAACACCTGAAGAGAATAAAGCATATGTGACTTCCCAACAGGGCCAGCATGTCCGAAAACCTACCCCATACGAGTTGGAGCGACCTCCAGTTTCGACCTCTGGCAAGGCGTGGAAGACTTCGCACCTGACGGCTCCACCGTCACTTTCTCTTGCCCCATATTCTATCGATTCCAAGACGGAAGCCGGGAGGTCGTCATCACGTGCACGAATGGCACCTGGATCCCGACTGACAGCAACTCCAAGTGCATAGGTTCAAAGATACTTATATAATATCCATGATTCTTTGTAATCATGACTGCCCGGTATGATGGACGAGTTTGTACATTAACCGGGCGCATATAATAGTCGAACCCCGTTATAAGAATCGTTCTTCATTTATTATCGGTTCATAGCCAAGTTCTTGACGAACGCGGGTGATCAAACTGTGAATATCCTCGACAATCCAAACCCAATCACGATACAAGGGGTGAAACCTTTTTATCGAATACTCTTCGATGAACCCAAGATCATCACCGTTGTCGATATCCTTCAAGTGAACACTGCCGGTGAGTGGACATCAACCCCCTCACTGAATAATTTGCAGGCTTATAAGAGTTTCTCAATTGTGAAATGTGAAAAGGAAAAGGATTCATGAGGACCACTCGCCGGATATAGTTATGTACCCAGGGGTGGATCATGCTGGAGTTAGTGTTAATATAATTAAGAACGGTATCGACGGGACGTGAATCGCAGCTTTTTATTAATTTGGACACACCATTCTGGTAAGTAGTGTTAGACGATGACGTCACAGAAAATTTCAAAGTGCGATCCCTTATTGGATTACTAGATGCTTTGCCCTATCATAAGATTTCATGAAAATATAATTATGAAAACCTGCGTTCTTTCTAGACTGCTTCAACTTCAGCAACATTGAAGTCCGGGTTGGAGACATAGATGTATCTGCATACGGGGATTTTTCTCAAAACCCCCTTTGTGCTTACTTCAAGGGATACGATTCCGATAAGGCCTGCCGATCGGTCAGGGAGAAGATCCGTTGTTCTCGACCGCTGACGGGGAAGATTTTATCGATTCAGAAAGTTCCGACCGTTGCTGGGTTCAGCAGCAACGGAGGCCCGGTGGACTCCTCAATCGCCACGGCAAGTGCAGCTGGCACTGGGACGAATGGGAAGAGAAAGCGCAGGCAGGCACCTCCAAGTGGAGGTTTAAGTGGAACTGTTCCGAGTGAGTGTGAAGCTGTAGCATGCGCTTCTTCGTCTCTACTTGGTCAATGTTTAATAAAACATGTTTACATTTTACGTTTATGCGGCACGGTCAACGTGCTCCCAGAAATCATAGCACCTCATACCAAGAAATGGTAAACAATTTCAAAGAGGCTAAATCTAAGGAGGATGTTAACTTGTTAACGCAAATTCTTCAGGTGATATTTTGCGGGACGAAGTGCTTTCCCGGTTGCTTGGACTGATTTCAGTAAAGTCCATTCATTTTGAGAGATAAGAAACTAGCTCTTCTCAAAGACCGATTGTTGTCTTGATTAACGAGTGACTGAGGGGAAAGAGGGCAAGCAATTAGCACCTTCTCAACCAGCCCTGTTGGGTGACAGTTTGGAGATGCCAAATAGGGATATTCTCTCATGCCTCTACACTGACCTGTACTGCGGAAGAGAGAGGACGTGAAGTACGACGTGAAATGTAGGGGCCGCGGACTTTTTCTACTATTTCTCAAGTTAACTTGTCAGGTACATCGGCGCAACATGCACCAATAAAATTGAATTTTCCTGCTTTTGAAGCATTCTCTTCGTTTCTGGCAACTCTGATTTTTCTCACAAGTCTGACATGAGGCCTCAACAAAAGATTTATGATCCCCAATCGGATGTGAAAAGATGATTTGTCAGAAATCTCCTAATGAATTTACGACTTAATGGGTCCGAGGAATCGCTGCTGTCAACCTGGTTTGCCGACAAGCTTCTCAAAGTGAATGAATCGATGGTTGGCACTTCCAGGGTTAAATTTCTATCATGTCGCTACATATGAAGTTCCTCAGTGTTCATGAAAGGATTCCCGCCTACATTTGATCATTTCACCGGGGAATTTCCGCTCTGCTATGACATGTCTGATCCCATGGCTTTGACGAGAGACCTTCCACGATGAAAAACATTTAAAACCGCATTAGCTTTATTAAATAACAGGAACAGCAAGACAACAGTATAGACATTTCCTAGCTTCTAACTAACACATCGGATGTTTCTTACAACAGGAAATGGATTTCAATATCCCGTCGTAAACATCACACTGCTCGGTGAGTGTTCAGATTCCATAAGCTGTTCACAGACTTCATGCAACAGTGCCCCACGTACTCACGAGGAACGTTGCCATTTTCTCTTCTCCCGCAGACCCAAATCGAATCTTCGCCAATGGAAGTAAACAAGTAGGAAGCTGGAGCGATGCAAGCACAGACTGCACCAACAGAGGAGGGGGATTGCTGGAAATCTCGGCCGCAAGCGACCTCGACATCCTAACTTACTTCCTCACGACCAACGTGTCCATCGCTGCAGGAAGCACCTTCTACTTGAAAAATAACATCATGGGGATTCCGAGGACGGACAACTGGAATCAAAGTATAAATACGCTAAGAGATTATTGGTTGAATGTGTCGAGCGTACCGCAGACGAAGTGGGATTCGAGTCAGCCTGATGGAGACAACGAGGAATGCCTCATTTGGAAAGATGGAACGCTGTACGATGGGAACTGCGCAACGACAAGAAACATCCTATGCTACATGCCAAGCACTGGCAAGTAACTTGCTGGTAGAACAGCACTATGCTGATGCTTTTGGTGCGATGATGTAAGCCTGAGCGAGAAGGTACATAGAGCGACGTAGAAAAAAAGAAGTCTTGAGTGTCCCAGTGAAGTTAGATGAAATTGAAACGTTTCTTAAACTCTCGTGAAGCCTGACAAGGAAGAGCACTCTGGCTTACATTTCCTGATTTTGCACATCCATATTTTATCATGTGTGATATTGTTTTAATATATAAGAAAATATCTAAATATGCAAATGGAATTCAAATGAGAATATTTCGTCCTTTAACATACAAGTACCTCGCCACACTAAATATCCGAAAGAAGCTATGCAATTCATCATGGAACGTTAAGTTTTTTACTCGTAATGGTAAATTATTTGTATTTGCGTAAAGCCCGGAAATGGCTCAAATTGGAATATTTAACCGATATTTTCTTTCATGCCTTTGAGAGTGATTAAAATAAATTAAAACAAATGAATTGAATCCCCCAATCAAGAGCTCCAGAGAGTGCGGGTACTAAAAGATTTTAATTGAATTACATGAACCCTTTGCTTACCAGACTCAGGGACAGATTGCGTTCTTGCGAGGAATTCCTCATACTTATTATATTTAGAGGCGATCATATATTTAGTTTTTAATAATCGTTTAGAAACGGGTAAAAATGGTTCATGCTCCCGAAGCAGTTAAAAGAAATCTTCGAGTTTTCCTTCATAATTAAATCTAAACTGGAAGATGGATACGTTTCGCGAAACGATTAGTATTGGGTACAATAAGTACAGTATTGGGTGCAGATTCATTTGCGTCATGGAGTTTGGGATCTCCCCATCCCTACATAAAATTTACAGATATCCTCAAAGAGGAGTAACAAAAGAAAGCCATTGAGGACGAACCTATTGACGACGAATCATTTACAATTCACGTACATGATTGCTTGCCTTCAACATTCCCTAGCTCAATTTTATTTATATCCAAAACTGTCTCCCTGCTTGCATGGTAGAGTTGCCGTATGGGCTGCAAATAAGCTATTTCTCCTCTTACATACACGTAGATTGCCATATCCCTCCAACGCACAAAGATGCATTTGTCAAGGACAACAGAAGCGGGAATGTATATCTGTTGGACACTTCAATCGGCTATGCATGTCCCTGTCCGAAAGTATGGGAACGCTCTGGAAAGGTCATCCTGGAGTCGATATGCAAAGGGGCGATGGGGTGGTCTCTGAACGACGAGATGCTGCGAAACCAAAGCTGCAAACCAGGTGAGTCCCTCGCTGCGTTCGTGTCGGAAATGAATGGATTCCAATGGACTACGAATGAATGGATTCCTCGCCCTGGGGCAGGAGGCGGGAGCGTCCAAGGAGTGGGATATCGCCTTTCGGCGGAGGGGGCGTCGCCTCTGGAGGCGGGTGACAGGTGCGGGGAGTTGTACGGGGGAGAGCTGGCCGAGTTGGACTCGGAGGAAAAACTCGCCTGGATTCGAGATTACCTCCATGATTTCCCCTGCATTTCTACCCTGGCAGTCGCTCCGAGCGCCCTGTGCGTTTTATCAATCCTCTACTTTCCAAAAATCGAATGCCCTTGCAAAAAATATACTCGCGGGAAACGTAATGTAAACGGAGGAAAATATTTTCAGAAAATTCCTGGAGACATGAAGATTCATCAAGTAGGATAACGAAATCGAATTTGGATTCAATTTTTTTGCGAAAATGAAAAAGTAGGCATTGCCCACCAATCCTCTGAAGTTTCAAGTGTAAATAAAATTTGGAAACACTCTTGCTAATTGTACAGCCTAATTTAAGCTGTCGAGAAATTTCTAATAAATCTCGTTACCGAACTGAAATGTTTTCCTAAACACTTACGAATGGTAAAAAGGTCTTTTCTCATTCTAGTACAAACTGGCGGAAGGTCCCGACGACCGTGGATAAACACTATGATCCCTCTGGAATCTGGATCGCAAGAAACGGATTCTCCCTCAATTCCACGCTTTTCGACAAGAGGCTCAGTGAACCCGACAACCATGATGGAACAGGACAACAATGTTTCCTTCTGATGAGGGACGGCGGTTCGGATAGGAAGTGCGACATCAAGGGCCAGTTCTATTTATGCTCCTCGGAAAATAAAGGTACACTAGATCAAATTATATGTTCTTTATAATTGGTCCATTAAACACTCGGAAGAAGGTATAGCAACCAGACGACTTTCAAGTAACTTATAATGAATTTAATCGCAATTGTGTACCTATAACTTTACCTTGTTCATTTGAATTTACTATTGCGGAGAATTTAGAGATATTTCCGTCAGCCTCTGAAAGGCATTCCTAGTTTCATCACTTGCGTTCCATGTAGTCGCTCTCGCCTTTTCACCTCAAAAGTTCTCGTACCTTCAAGTTACTTTAAACATACATTACAAATGTATCTTAGTTTTGTTCGTAATGAAACACCTTGCGCATTGACGCAGACACTCAAATAATAAACAGAAACTTGTTACTTCGCTTAGAAACTTGCACATTTATTAAATTACCTAACGGCATCTCTCCAAAATCTTGATACTTCTTGGACATGAATGAAACACCGGCAAGCAACAGGTGCGAACCTCTCCTTATTCCCCGCCAGGATGTATCGAACCTCCAGATGCACCTAAGAACAGTACCCGCATTGGCCCGTCCAAAAAGGCGTATGCTTTGCACGAGAATGTTACCTATTTGTGTGGGCCGAATTCCCACTGGGAGAAAAACACTCTGGGTTGGAACGTCGAAGGATACAACATGGACATGCCTTATATTACGCGGATCGAATGTCTCGGCTCCCTCGGATGGCTTTCCTTTGGCCTCACTAATTGTTCCCAAGGTGAAAATAATGTTTGCATTCGGTTTCCTATGTACTGGATTTGATAAATGATCGTTGTGACAGGATTCCATGTCGGAGACGGCGACACGTTGTTCTACCTGGAAGGAAAAACGGCAATTGCCAACGTAACAGATTTTTTTGATGCCATGGAATTCTGCAAGACCAAACACTTAGGATCCGAGTTGGGAGAAATCACCTCCGTGAGGACTATGCAAGAACTTTTCAGTTACATGCAGCTGAATTTCCCACATGCCGAGACCGTGATCGTTGCAACGAACGTGAGGTGAGGTCCACTGGAGAGGATAATTTGCTCGTGTTCAAAGCAATCAAGCTAATCTAGGCACTATTTTCCAATAATTGGAATCGTCTGACGCTCATTGGAAAAACAGGCGGAATAAACTTGCTGGGCTGGATGAGGGCAACGAAACTATTTGGAAATTTTCGGATGGATCGGGCGTTCCGAGTCAACTCTTCGACTCCAAGTATCCGAAAACGGGGAAAGGACCGTGTGCCATTTTGAGTGTCGTCAACAATGGCTTGTTCATGAGAAACCACGAGTGCTCCTTCGAAGGGATTAAGAATGGCTATATTTTGTGCCAGGAGGACAAGGAGACAAGTAATGAATCTTCATTTTCCATGTGAGTTCAGAGACGCATGGAAACGATTTTATAATGAATTTATATCCCAGAGTGCGGTGAGGGTCCGCCGCGGGTCTCGGGTGCATCGCTGGCTTCCTCCCCGACGACTCCGGCACCTTATCTTCAAGGGACGGAGGCCGAATACAAATGCGACTGTGGGAAAAGTCTGAAGGACAATATGCATGAAGTGCGCCTGACGACGAAGTGCATGGGACAACTAGACTGGATGCCCTTTCCTGAATGCGTCGAGCGTGAGTGCTTCTATCAACACATGTTTTTTAAATCTGTAGCAAAAACACTTCACTCAAAATAAGATCAACAGGATAAAGGGTATATACTGAGAAATTCATTGACCATCGAAAAATACAATATGCATATTTTAAACTCGTAGGCAACAGGAGTTTCGTGTTGGGAAATATCTCGTACGAGATAGTCGTTCCCCAGCCAGGGGCAACGATACAAGGGAACTTCGAGGCAGTAGAATATTGTTACTCCAAAGTCTCCAAAACCTCTGGTTTGCCTGAAAACCCCGATCCATTCAAAATGGCGGATGTGGCGATTTGGTCCAAACCCTTCTGCAGAGACCGCATACCTTTGCCATTCAATACCTTGTGAGTTCATTTTTCTCTGGGCCTTTTTTGCATCCCGATTTCGGGCTGGTTTCTAGGAATTTCTGATGTATTATAGGGTATACGGTGGCAGAATTCCTGCCAATACGCCGTATATTGCTTCGGATTACTGGAAATTCATAAATGGAACAAGCATGCCGAGTCGTTGGTTCGATTCGCCTTTAGAGAACAAAGACGGAAACGAACATTGTATGGCGTTTTTTAACAGCACTCTTCGAGACGTCCCATGTAGCACATCTTTCGCTGAAGCGATTGTATGCCAAAAGAACGTGAGCACAGGTAAGAAACTTCCAGCTAGGGAGAAAACTGCATCTTCGAAGTAGATGTCCAATTATATATATATATTTTTTTTTTTTTTTCTCAATTTCTCAGATTGTCCATCGGATCCACCTGAAATCCCAAAGTCCGAATTCATTATCGGGAGGTACTTCACACCAGCAACCCAGACAACTGCACCATATCCGTATGACACGAAGGTGACCTACGCCTGCCCGTGTGGTTTTCGATGGAAGGAGGCGAGCGTGGACGGGATCACTGTGAACAGCGTCGCCTCGAGGACTGTCGACATTCACTGCAGGGGGATAATCGGCTTCAAGTATCCATTCTCCGTCACAGAATGTATCCCTGGTACGTCACGAAGCGAATCGAGCCCAATGGTGGTTCGGATTGAGTTTGCATGAGCTCTAAACTTTTTCGGAGGGGTCTTACCGCTGGGTAGCCAACAAGCTGTTCTTTCGCTCTTGATATGAATATCGCTTCATGCGCTTCATGCCTCCATTATTCGTAACGTTTGCCCTCGACGTTAAGAGAGTTCCTCCGACAATGTCAGAGGCGTGGATTAAGTAGAAATTCAAGCCGTAACAGTACTCTAAATCGCATAACTATGAATAATCCAGAAACATGTAAATACTTTTTTTTTAATAGCTTGTGGGAATGATGCACCGCCACCCTCTCCACCAAACGCGACGAAGTCATGCGACAATATTTTCTCCCCAACACTGCAGCTGACTTATACTTGTTACCTACACCATCGATGGGAATCGTCGTCGAAAATTGCAGTTCATGCTAAATGTGTGAACGACATTTGGCAATCAGATCCCGAGATATCCAACCCATGCGTCCCAAACGAATGTGTTCGAGATCCCCCGTTCGTCAAGGAAGCGAATCGTACTTGGAATGGGAAGTACGATATAGGGACCATCGTCTCCTATTATTGTTACAAATCTCGATGGTTCGCCGATACAAAAACCCAGACTCGTGATATAAAGTGCAAAAATGATGGGCTATGGGAAGATCTGCTTGACGCTAAATGCGTTTTCTTCGAATGTCCCAATCCACCGCAGGATCCTACCTCAACCGATATGATGAGATCCTGGAAATCGACCGACAAAGCCATAGGGAAAAACGCATCCTACACTTGCAGAGATGGAATGAAATTGAATGCAAATCAGACTGATTTGGATGTTCAAGGAATACAATACAGCAAGAATGGGGGATTCATCACCGAGATCAAACTTTCCTGCCTCTCAAATGGGTCGTGGGAATATGCCAATATGGAATGTGGGATTATTACTTGTCCCGGTGACCCACCCAGTGCACCTAATCAAGGGACTAGGCAATGGAATGGCTCGGCCACTGTGGGGACACAGGCCACTTATCGCTGTCCTCAGTCTGGAGAAATTGATTTGTCGGCGACGGCTTTGGATGCCAAAAGAATCGGGTACATGACAGAACAGGGGAAAATATTGGAAGTCACGCTGGAGTGTACAACCAATGGAACCTGGCAATCATTGACAATGAGTTGCAAGGCCAGTAAGACAACTTCCACCAGTGGCACCCTAAATGCAACTAATCCAGAAACGAGCCAGCCTGATGACCCCACGACCAGCATCACTTCTATCGATGAGACTCCAAGCACAAGAAATCCAGGAACTAGCCAGCCGGATGAGCCCACGACCGAGGAGCCCAGCCTCCCTTTTCAGTGTCACCAGACCTCAGCAACATTGGTCTGCGGTGGTGCAGGTAAGTTGGCACATCCTTCTCCATTTTTTCCACACATATATGATATAGTTCACGCCTTCATACATATCGTTCATTTCATCTGAAGTTCACGTGAGCCTTTAAGATTGATCGATGCGAGTCGATCTCGCTCCCCAGAGAATGACTTATTTGTCTTGAAATTAAATCATAAACAATGGCACCCTTTGATAGTAGTAGCTCCACTTCCGGGAAGAATCTGATCGGAAACTATTTTCCCCATGAAAAAGGCTAATGCCAAAGAAGCAAATAAGATGGACTTCGACGAAACTGAATGGGTGAAGTCTATTGTCAAACACGTGTCTGAAACATAGCAGTAAAATGATGACTTGATGACTTGAAATCACTGACCATCCAATTTCCGGAGCAAAATATCTAATAGGATCTAATTCTAATCACGTTTCCTTGTCTTTCCATCTTGTCGATTTTGACGACAGCCAACGATGAATTTGATGATTCATTGACCTTATTTAATGAACATCTACCATGTGTTTTCAAAGTTGTTTTCGTAATTTTCTCCATGAAAAGAAGTTTTGAATGCAGAAGTTTTTCATATCCTAGAAAAGCTTCTTGTTGCAATGTCATGGTGTTCGTGAAGACATATACCCATACCTATCGTGCGTGCGTGCGTGTGCGTGCGTGCGTGTGTGTGCGTGCGTGTGTGTGCGTGTGTGTGCGCACTTGTGCTCGTGTCTGTCGGTGTGAAATGTACAGTTGTGATTCCTCGCGTCTTTCCATGTGAGGGGCTTCCTTCCCATTTTTCATTCCATGACCTCTTTTGCTTCTGAGTTTACTATTTACCAGATCTCATATGATGACTCCCGTTTCCCTGCCACTTGGTGAGTCATGGCCAAATATATTTGTTGTCTCTCCTTTCTTAAACTTAGGTTGGTTCCTGAGACGGACACATGAGCTGATCATGAAATGCCTCTATATTTCAGCGAATTTTCGACAGAACGCTTCTTCTATCTCAACCCTGTGATACGATTGCATTACGAAGCCTCTAAGAAGTCACTTCAATTTCGAGTTTCAACCGCTACTCAACATTGTCAATTGTTTTCTCGCTTGATTAAGGTATCATACTCGTCTTGCATATACAGGTAGATAAGTCTTTTGCAGAAATTCATAGAATCATTATCTAAGGGTATCACTAGCTTTGAGACAAGGTAAAATAATCTCTCCCATTCAATGGTATCCAATTTGTTCGAAATAAGCGATTGTAGGAGGAAAATATTGTAACCACCTAGGACGATAGGTTTCAACGGTGATCTTGCACCATTTTTTCGATCCTTATCAATATTGTTCTCACCTGACCATGGTTGTAACGATAAATTCCTTATAGTAACTATAAGTCTACGGAGTCAGTACAACTTCGAACACGCTGGCGATCTGTTAGTGATAGAGTAATTTACGATCCCGTCGGAGCCGCTTACACGATGTCCCTCGCATTACTCCATCAATTGGTCATTGATATCTCCAGCAGGAGGAAGAAATTGTGGAACTAGGCATCCTAGAAAAATAAAGCAACTATGTGTAAAACTATGTAAACAATCGCGTTGCACAAGTTCAACTGAAGTCAGTCATTCTGCAGTTCGAGCTTCTCCTGAGGCTAACGCAGCCTGAACTGATTCTCCCACTTTCTATAGTAGTCGAATTGGAAGTAACCAACCACACTATCAATTCCAATCAATGCCTGGATGATTATTCCTCTCCCCCCTGTTTAATCTTCTCTGGAGAGAACATATTATTGCAATGGCATTAACACACCTTATGTGAAAGGCCAAAGGAGGGAAGTCTCCTTCGTCACTTCTGCTCCCTGCCTCGAAATCCCTTGTGCTAGGGTTTGTTTTCTGCTGCATTTAACCGATTAATAACGTGCTGGCTGTTACTGACAACCAAACCTCGAGTTGTGACTTATTTTAGCATAAATATTCCTAAAAATTCATGAATATAAATTTCATGTAACATTCTTTTACTGATAACTATCTTCATCTGATGTTGGCAGATGGATAATTTATACTAATAGCTATATTGAACTCTTCTGATTTCTGAAACGAAATAGTATCATTTCAATGCCTAATTCTCGTCCACCCAGTGCTGTTAAAGAAGTGAAATTCCTTCTCTGGGAATCGGGCTGAGCTTTTCACACTTTTCAACACCAACTTTTTAATAATACCGAGTTCCCTCACGGCATGAGATGAACTATGAGATTCTTGCACTGCATCAGATATATTGAATTGGATGGACCCCAGACACTTAGACGACTCTACGGAGCTTACTGCAGAGCAACTTCGGCTCTGCCAGCTAATCTTTCATCGGCGTCGATTTATTGTGATTCAGCGATTGAGATTGGAAATGCGGAGTATCTGGTCACAATATTGATTTTGTCAAATTAAAAAAAAATTGAGACATTATTCATGAATTCTAATTTTATTTACATGGTCTCTTAATACTGAATTTGTACCAAGGCCTTTCTCAACTGTTGGTAGCGCTAATGATGGATGATTACTATGCTTACCTCTATGATTTACTGCTTAAATGGCACGGGAAGAATCGCAGAAGAGCCTTTTACAGACACTTTTCTTTCTAGTCGTGGTGAAGGAATACTCCATTTTAAACACTTCCTATTAATCGAGAAAACTCACGGGTATATGCTAAATAAAAGCTTAAGAGAATTCAAACTTACAGGTGGAATTTTTAGACTCTTGAATAGAAGACAAAAACTTGATGTGAAGCAATTCGTGGCGAGTGTATCACAGCCGGATAAAATTAAGTCCATCTTCACCTTGATTATTTCCGTCGGTGCATGACCTTTATTAGGTCATTCTGATCCGATCATGAAGGGGAAAGAGCATAGGAGATGAGCCTCCATTCCAAGAATTGTTATTTGAAGGAAAAGAAGAAGCGAATCGAGGAAGCAAACGGCGGATGGGGTGCAGCTCTTCTCCACATCCAAGCACGTGAACAGTCTGCTTAAAAAGACCGTTTTGACTTTGCATGGCTTTTTTTTCCAGGCGTCTTCGCATGCGCCCGGGTGCGTCTCGTGACGTAGGCAGATTACCTGCTTATAGGGATATAGGGACAACAGGGTGCTAGTCCCATTTTTGTTATCGTCATCGATATGGAACCCGACTTTTGCAGTTTCGCCATGGAATGAGAGATTGTGAGGAAGAAAGTTAGCCTGTCCCTGAGTCTTGTCGACTTCTTCATTCCCTCTATTTTTCCCCTTACGTAAGTTTCGATGCGAGATATAATTCTTCCGGTGTCTATTTTGCTGTTATGAAGTGAATTTCCTCGCATGGTAGTCTCGGCCAGGCTTTCCATATCTCCCGACACCTGCGCCTTAGAGATACAAAACTCCGTCATGTCATGGGGAAAAACGCAAGAAAATTGCTCTGCATCTGATAAGGAATTGATAGGGATGGACTGGGACGCTTGAACGGCGCTCCGCGGCCTCTTGCAGAGCAACGCCGGCTTCGGCCCTGCTGGCACCTACTTCATCGGCACCAATCTATGGTTGCCGATGTTTCGAGCAGAACAGTAAGAATGGACTGAAGATACAATATGCAACTAATATCTATTTAATTTTGTCGTTAAACCGTTATCCATGAACTGGACCTTTCCTTTTTCAATATTCAAGATTTGCGCCGAGGAATCAGCCATGGTTAGCCGCAAATGTTCGTCCGACCTGGTGGGACTCCGATGGACCTGGAAACGTTCAACATTGCGCCGCTTTCACCGAAAAAGGATCTGGATTCCTCCTGAAGGATGTTTCCTGCCAGGAACCTCACGGGTTCATCTGTGGGCCAAGTGAGTTTCTCGCTCTAAAATGTTTTTATTTTTTATCTATAATTAAGGCGAGGGCGAAAAGGTGTGCAGATGTGCTTCATGGGTACTTCACAGCGTCCTTCATCTGAAAAGGAGAATTATTAATATCAAACAAGTTTTCAGGAGGGTAAGAATTCACCCGTTTGAAAAATCAGAATATGAATTGAGGAATATTCGACCTTGCACCAAGATGCTGATAGTCGCAACTCTCTTGCGGAAATGACGAACGTACTTCAAGTGTAGTTCATTATTCTTTAAAATTATGTAGTCTTGCTCTCCTATAAATGCTCAAAACTGAATGTTTTCCCTCTCATGCCAACCCGTCAACTAGCAGTTTTGTCCTTTTGTAAACTTCGCAGTCCTCCGACATCTGATTTTTTTTCAAGAAATAGGAATTCATCTGAACAAAAAAAGTCAATTTCCCAATTAAATTGTTAATGCGACGTTCAATCAATCTTGGTCCAGCCAAAATTACCTACACGCCTTACATAAGGAAAGTTTTTTTTGTGATGAAAACTTGCTCATTTAGTGAGAGCGCAGAAAGTCAATCCGTGAAACTACTTGTGCAGTGAGCAAAACACACGAAACACTGGTAACACCCGCGTATGCCCTTGCGTAAGGGGATGTAAAGCCCCTGCGAGAAGACACGGAGTTCCACTAAAGACAGCGGGGTGAGCGGCGAGGCATGCGGACCGGATAGATTCGAGGGCAGGTCGGTTCAAGTGAGGAGGTCGAGTCCGTTTGGGAGTTTACTGGAGCTTGAAAGTGTAGCGGAGGTCGGATTGCATCGCTCATTCTAATCTTGGCTTCAATTATTGCTTTTTTTTTCGTCGGGAATATGGCATATCATGGGACTTTCGTCCTCACGTTTCCGTAATTAAAACATGAGAACCTGAAATCGGGAAATTTCGTTCTGCCATCAGTCTGCTTCATTGGAGTTCCAATATCCTTGTGTGACTGGAATGGGGGAGAAAGAGTGCGTCCTTTTCGGACGAACGGACATTATCTGCCTTTGACTTGAAATACATTCGATACACGTGAATGATGATCCGATGACAGGTGTCTCCCTTATTCATATCTCTCACAGAATGAGAAATGCTTCTCCATTCATGGACACTGCAACAAATGAAAGGAGGCGTTTACCTCCTGTCTTTTGA